TGACGCGCTGTTCTCAGCTCTCGTCTCTTTTGCATCATAAACTGCCGTATCTCCTTTCTGCGTTCACCAGCGAGGTGCCACTGGTATGGGGGAGAGTTGGACCCAGTTTCTACATATGCATGTTTCCTTGTTAGAAAGCTTAACAGCTTTCCTTTTTACGACTACCCAGTGGGACCCTCATCCAGTAAGCCACCCCTCAATGGTGGTCCCAGAGCACTGGTTTAACGAAACCATCCTACTTGCACAGTCTTTCCAGTTATGACTTGGATGGTCCATAAGAATTTGAGAAACTTGTATCCAGAGAGTGTTGGTACCATAGATTTTTTACTCTTCCCAGTAACTGGGCTTCTACCACACCAGCCTTTGCTGGTCCTTCTGGGACGTGACCTGAGCTGGGGTCACCAGAGATTTATGCTGTGAGCTCTCTTTGGCTTATGTGCTTGCTCTAAATAGATATTTATCCAATTCATCCCAGTAGGACTATCTGAAGGAGCAAGGAATGAGCTGGCTTATTTATAAGCCAATTTAACAGGTAAAACACATATCGCAGCCACACAGGACACCTCGCCCCAAGAACAAAGGAAGCAGGGAACGAGGCTGTCAAAAGAGCAGTTCTGTGAGGTGGGGAGTTGTAATGACTCAACAGTCATTTTTTAATTACTCCTTGATGCAGCTGGGACAAGCACAAGCAATTCCAAAGCACTCTGCTTCAAATGAATATGTAGGTGAATCATGCAAGTTAATCAAGGGATGCAGAAAATTCCTTCAAACTTTAGGAAAGAGAATGAAAATATCTCCAAATGGGGGGTGCTGCATCTCTAGACAGTACACTGCAAGACTCCTTAACAGGGTTTTGTGGCCATACGTGAGCAGGTTCTAGCAAGTGACACCAAGCACAGTTTTCCCTCTGAAAATCTCAACTTTTGGGTGCTGCCTTGTTTAGAAGGGGAATAAGCAATGCGGAGCAGCCTCGTAAGCCTCTTGAGAATGTGTTCCTGACCAAGATCCACCCAGCACCGCTGTCAGCTCTCCGAGTGCATCTTGTGAAACCTGGTAAATAAACAGCAATGCTTTTTTCTCACTCTCATGTCATTTACTTAACACCAGGTGCAGTGTTTGCTCCGCTTCCCAATTCTCCAGATTTTTCACGCCAGGGACGTGGTGACAGGAGAATCCCTGGGTGACATGCTGATACCTCTTGAAATTTCCACAAAAGAGAGATGAGAATTAGTCCATGGGCTGATGTTTCACCCATCTCAGCTGAGGTGATCCTGACTCGCACCACAGCAAGAATTATCGAGCCAGTGAGATCCTTCATTCATGAAGTGGCCAAGAGAAGAAAAAAAATCAGACACAACTGTGCGAGGAAAATAGAAAAGGTTTGATATTTACAGAGCGTGGAACCTTCTGGATGAAGGCAGATCCCACCAGACATCCGTCTGCATGATGAGATGCTTAAAAGCCTTTGGAGAGCCCGAGCACAGATGATGCAACACAGCATCGGTGTATTTTTGGACTTCCCACTGGAACCGATGAAGCTGCAGCGATTTACACCCACTTTGAGACAGCCCTGGGCCCGGTTCCATTTGCAAATAACTAAAGAGGACATCTCCTGGCATCGAGTGCCACACAGGCTCCAGAAACGCCTGTAGAACTTGCTGTACCGCATTACCTTTGATTAACGTGACACTCGCGGTTGCTCGTTACTCCGTTAACTCCACTGAGCGCAGAGGGAAGAGCCACCTCACAGAGAGCTGTTTTCTAAACAAATTAATACAAGGTAGCAGCATCACCTCCGGATCCTGGACAGACACAAGCCGGTCCAAGTCCACTGACATTTCTTTGCTTTTTTCCCCACTTCAAAGCACCTTAGCCTGTTTGCCACTGTCAGGATTTGGCCACAGAAAACTGGAGCGACTGGGAAGGCTGTTTGGCATTGCTAGAGAAGGGCAGGAGGGATCCTGCTGCTGTAGATAGCAGGTGATGGAGCAAGGGCAGTGGGGTTCTGGAAGGCCATCAAACCAAGGCTTGGGAAAGAGCATTGCTTGCACCAGGAAAAGATTAAGGATTCTCACTGCTGTTGTTTCAGCAGCAAATATTTCACTTTGCAAATGCAAACAGATCTTTGTCATACAGCAGCTCCCTGGATACCTCCTACAAGCACCGTGCTACCGGAATTCCCACGGACCCAACGGCAGTACATTCCCGATGCCTCAAGAAAGCGGCTCCCCACAAAAGTGTCCCTGGCAGCCGACGCAGAGGCCCAGCCAAGTGAGTTAATGAATAATGCTGTCTGCTCGTCACTACCTTGGCTCTGATGCCCACTGTCCCCCAGGCAGAAACTAGGAGGCACTGATGGTGTTTCCCACCCCCCAAGTTCAGCCCAGATGTGCAAACCAACTGGAATAAAGTCATGCCCAGCATACACAGGATTTTTGATTCTTAAAAGCAGGGCTCCCCTGCATCCCTCATCCCATCTGTGCCAGTGACAGTCGGGATGAGCTGAGGTCTAGAGAGCACCCCTGCTAATTAGCCTCTGATTGCCAGCAATCACTACAGCTGATTCATCAGAGTGCCCAACGTCAGTTTACAGGGCTGGTCTCTACTGCAATCTGTGCAGAGATGCTGCAGGGGTTTGCAATCAGAGGACAGTTTGTATCTTCAACCTGGGCAATCCCATCCTGGGCAGTTAAATCCCACGTAAAAGTATAACTGAGAGCACTATTTACCTTCCACTGAAGTCAAGACCTGTTTCTGTTTCACTACAAGAGGAACTGGACAGGCTGCCTAACCTGCTCCCCTTTCGGTGTCAAGGCAAAGCAGACAGTGGTCCTACCCCAGAGTCTTGTTTTAAGGCAAAAGGAACGTGAAAGAGTTGCTAGTGAAGAAAAGAGGCAGAGCCTCAGGGGCGCCTGCAAGGAAAACCCATGATCCCAACCCAAAGCAGAGGGAAGCTTCTTGCTCGACTGCCCAACAAGAGAGCGGAAGCACGTATCACCATTCCCGGTGGGACTACTGACCACTCCAGCCTCTTTCTGCCTGTAAATCCAGGTTCATGTTCGCTGCAGGGGGTACCCATCTCAATGACAAAAGCAGCCTCTGGCAGGCATGACCCATCCCAGGAAGGGTGTCCAGCCATGGCGCGAGAAGTCCCAGGGACTCTGCAGAGGACAGTCAGATACAACAGTGCTGAGCAACAACCTGACACTCTGCCAGAGATGGGCAGGAATATCTACTCTACATCACTATCTCTCCATTGTCAAACCCAGAAAGCTTTCAAACCTGCTTAAAAGCTACAACCAACTCCTGGGAGACCTTTCCAACATGCACCATCAAGAGTAAAACCTTTTTAAGACAGAGCTCGATCGACTGATGGATGGGATTTCGGGGCTGTCAGAGATAGTTAAGGACTGAACTGTGTGACCCTGGAGGTCCCTTCCAGTCCATTTGCATGTGTGTGTACATATATATGTACCTATCCATCTATAAAAAAATGTTAGCAAGCTGCTGAGCCTGCACTCACCACGCACTTCCCAGCGAAAGGAAGAGGGACTCGAATGCGCAAAGAATAAATGATTCAGCTCCATCTTGTGTTTCCGCTTTTGACACGGCAAGCGGCACTCCAGCTTGTCAGGAGAAAATCCAGACAGCTGCAATATATGTACAAAACTGGGACAATTCAGATTAAAAACCCATTTTCCTCTACGTTTCTCTGAATATTTACCCCTCTCCCAACAGCTGTCCTGAAAGGAAGATATGAAGAGAGAGGATTTCCCGTGATCTGTGTCCGGCTTAGAAATCCTCGCTCCCCGAATTATGTTTGATTGTGCCTCAGCATGGATTATTTCGAAACGATCACCTGCGAGAACCACACAATCCGAGAAAAGCAAAAATTGGGGCAGTTCCTGAAGAGGTCTGTAAAAATTCCCTTGGGTTTCCTTTCCAAGGCGAAGCACGCTGCACTTAACAGCGACTGCCGAGGGCCTGGCCATCACGTACTGATGCGTGAACGCTGCTCCCAAGAACAGCAGCTCACCAAGGCACTCTCGGGTCATCGCGGACCGCGGCGAGGATCACAGTCCCCTCGGGTCCGAAATCAAGAGCACAGATGTATCCCAAAGAATATTTTGCACGGAGCAGCGCTGCAATTGCAGAGGAGAAGACAAGAGCTGGCGACTCTGTCCTTTCCTACGAGCCCTAAGTACTCGCTACAAGTACTCACCGCAGCGAGAAGATGAGGCAAAAAGGGACAGTCACCTTTTGGGCAAGTTTGTCTTGCTGCCAAAAGCCTGTCCCCTCAAAAAGTGACACGCAGGCGCTTCTGCAGGAGTTTCGCCAGCTCAGATCTGCAGGTGGTTTGGCTCCCAACGCCCAGTCTCACGCAGGATAAAGCTCGAAACACCAGTAACCTCTCCCTCTGATCTCGTCACACGGCATCTCAGGGAGCAACCCGAGCTCTGGCAGTGAAATTCCTCCTTCGATTATACCGTACTGCCACGTTTGGCTCAGCAAACTCTTCTCCCTCCCCTAGCAAGCAAATATCAGGAAACAGCAGAAAAGCCCTGCAGAAACCCAGGCTCGCTCAAGGCAGGTGTGACTTCACATTCTGATTTTCAAAAACTTGAGAGAAATTGCACGAAAATCATCAGTTCAGGTATCATTACAGTTCCACGTCTGTTAGCCACATCAGTGAAATACTGCATTGCTGAAGCTCTCCCCGTGTGAAAAGGTATTTTGAAAGAAAAGCCAAGCAATCAAGGAAGAATAAGCCATCCTAATCAAGAACACAAGGACTGAACCTCAAGTATCTGAGTACTTGCATACGAAATTGTCCAGATGCTCATGCGTGTATCTAAGGGCCTCGCTGCATCTGAACCAAAGCAGGAAGGTGAAGCCAAAACCTTACGAAAAGGCCTGGTATTCATTAGATTTCTCTTGGTTTTGGAGAGCAACACCGAGAGACGGATCCAGCTTTGCTCCTGCTGTGTGTCAGCACAGACCGAACGGGTTCATCCTCCGCCGAGAGCTGGGCCAGGAGGACCAGACTCTGGAGAAGAGGCTGCTCTCGTGCAGCGAGCGCTTACTGGGTTTCATAACAGGCAAGAGGAGCAAGACGCTCACAGCATCCGATGGCTCATGCCATGCTAAAACGCCGGTGAAGATGAGCTCCCGCACTCCAGTGAGCAGGTCAGCAGGTACCTGTGCCATGGTGCACCCCGGCAACCCAACACCAGTTGGGTTCTCCTGCCAGCGGCGCAAGCTGCCACCAACATTGGGAGCAGTGACTGCACCCTATGTGTAAGGACAAAGGCACGGGGCACCAAAACTGCTCTGCCACATGGGATTCACCTTTGTAAGAGCACTGGAAAGCCAAGGAGGAGCTGTTCCTGCTCCCAAAGAGGGTCAGGACAAGCCCTTTCCAGCACCAACAGGCATCACCGTACCCTTTCCTCCCACACCACAGCGTAACACGGTCACCCTCTTCTCCCAGCCCTCTCAAGGAGCACCATGCCAAACGACAGCCTGTCCCTGCGTGCACCCACTGACCCAACACAGGGCACGGAGCTGCAGCCCAGTGGTCTGCATCCTCCACGGAGCTGCACGCTGCCACGCAGCCTGGCAAAGCACGACGGGGATGCTCCTGAGCCCCTTTTGACAGGGGGTGCCCATCTCTCCCCAGCAACCCTTGTCACACGTCCCCCCACCTGCTCCTGCCTGCACAGATTTGCTGGAGCAGGGGGACAATTATTTCAACGTTCATCCGAGGAGCGACGCCCATCCGCTTGTGCCCTGTCCGCCCACGTCCCAGTCACTTCTGCCCCAGTTCCTTCGGTGAGGGGGTCACTGGCGCAAGGAGGGAGGGAGGCAGCGGGGTGGATGGAGTCGAGCTGAAGCTAATGACGCCGCGTCCCTGCCTTGAGCACTGTGACCCTCTTCTCCAGTAAGGACGCGCGTGGGAGCGAGTACGCTCGAGAGGAGCTGATCAGTATTCAGCGAAAGGCTCTGCGATCGCGCTGCCCGCTCACCCGCCAAAACCAATGACTCAGTGCGCGGGTGGAGGCAGCAGCCCTTCCTCAGTAGCTCCCCACGGCACCCCGCTCCCGCATCCCTGTCCTCCCCCGCGGCGGATTTCACGCCTCCCTCCTTGCGAAAGCATCGCTTCCCGTCACTTTCCCGGCTCCGCAGCGCAGGTGCCCCTGATCCACCCCCAGGCCATCACCCGCAGGCGCTGCCAGCTCCTTCGGCAGAGCCTTGGCTCATGATTTGGGGA